CCTGGCACACAAAGATGAACAAAGTCTCCAACACCACACCACCAGATTAAACGAAGAATGTAACAACTACGACATGAAGATCAACATCAACAAAACAAAGACGATGAAAGTAAGCAGAAAGCCAGGATCACTCAGGATACACATCAACAACAAGAGTCTCAGACAGGTCCAAGAATTTAAGCACCTCGGAAGTATATTCACAGAGGATGGGCGACTGAACAGAAAAATTGAAACACGAGTACAAAAGGCCAATAATGTTAGTTACCAGCTTACTCCACTACTGAAACTTCCTAACATCCCCATGACAACAAAACTCAAAATTATCAACACCATATTCATCCCAACACTCACCTACCAATGCCAAACATGGACCATGAACAAGACATTGGAGCAAAGAATTACCACATGTGAAATGCGATGCCTTAGAAAAGCAGTAAACAAGACCAGGCGAGACCAAATTAGAAACGCAGTAATCAGAGAAATGGTGGGCACAAATGATGTATTGAATCACATCCAACGCCAAAGAATCAAATGGTTCGGACATCTCATGCGATTACCAACACACCATCTAACACAACGTGCCTACACACAAAAATCCAATGACAACAAGGCTAGAGGGCGACTGAGAAAGACCTAGATAGATGGAGTCAGGGAAACATTAACCACCCACGGCATCCCCCTGACCCAAGCTCTCCGGCAGGTGGCAGAGAGATGTCTCTTTCTTCCCGCGACACCCATAAGGGTATAAGAAATAAAAGAAGGCATGACCGCCATCTGTGGCGCAGCAGTTAGACACTTTGCTGTTGCATGCAGAAGGTGTGAGTTCAGTTCCCCTGTGTAGAAAAAAAAATTCCGCTGGGGCAGGGTATCCCTGAGCTCTAGCAGAGGTACACAGAAAAAGAAAAGAACGGGCAAGTTGTTTAGAAGTACCTCGCTGCCAAAGTCAGGATTTGCACTGTTGCCAGTTTGCATAAAATATGTCAGAACTCCCAAATTTGGAGAGATTCTTTAAGGGTTTATTCAATTAAAGGTTTCCCGGGACAAGTTGACATGTTGACATTCAGTACATCTATTACTCTAAATCTCCTTAAATGAGGCCAACACACAAATACACAAGCTCTAACAGGGCACAGGTGTATGAGAAGACACAAAAGAGAATCACAGCAAAGAACTTAAAAAAACAACCAAAAAAACATGCAAAAATATGCGGTACTTACTTTGCTCGGCCTCTGTGCGACTTGTGGTGACAGGCTTCTTTTCGGTCCACACTCGGGTGACCACTCGACCTGATGGAGGAACAGGTGCTTTTTTAACAGACAACTAAAATTTCTTCCAGCTAGATGAATGAAGGTTGGCACTGGAATTGCCATTGTCATTGTAAAAAAATAATGGCTTATTTGAAATTGTTTGCCAGTCTACATGACAGTCTACCACGATGTTTCTGTCTACTGTGATGTTTCTGTCTACTGTGATGTTTCTGTCTACTTGATGGTCTACTGCAATGTTTCTGTTCTACTTGATGGTCTACTGTGATGTTTCTGTCTACTTGATGGTCTACTGTGATGTTTGTCTACTGCAATGTTTCTGTCTACTGTGATGTTTCTGTCTACTGTGATGTTTGTCTACTTGATGGTCTACTGTGATGTTTCTGTTTTACTTGACGGTCTACCACAGGATCAATGTGACAACAGCTGCACTTGCCAGTCTACTTGTCAACTACATTCCATGGTACATCATATTTTCCCACTACGTTTTTATACATGCTTTGGACTGTCATTCGGTGCATTAAATTCTATAAAATCCCTAACCCAATCCTAACCCTTACCCCAAACTTAATTTTGTCCAAGTGACATAGCATAGATGACCAATCAGGCCGACTTATGGTAGAATGAATTATTGCTGTCATGTGGACCGGTATCTATTCTTGCTTGGCTACTAAAACTTAACCCATCAGAAAGTATTTTACAACATAAGCCCCAAACATAACTTGTCCATTGTGACAAGGGGTGAGGATAATGAAGGGGGTTGTGGAAGAGGAGGAAGGGAGGGGAGGAGAGGGAGTGAGGAGGACATGAAAAAAATACAGAAGAAGAGAAGGAAGAAGAGGAGGAGGAGTAGCAGCAGCAACAACAACAAGGAGAGCAACAACTGGAAAAAAAAAGAGAAAAAAAGACGCCAGTGGCAAGACCAGGAGAAGAAGGGAAAAAATGAGAGAAAATGAAATGTAAGGAATAAATTGAAGAACTCACCTTCCATGGAAGTGAAGTTGATCTGGAACTGGAAGGGGTATTCTGTTGGTTGTGGAACTTCATCGCTTGAAGGCACTGGAGCTGAGGGAGATAGAACTGGAATTCACACTTTTCACAGATATGAATTCACATCGGGACCAGAAAAAAAATGTCGTTATAGAGAGACAAACAAAAATTACTAATAATATATTAGGAAAAAATCGGGGCCTGGGCACCATGTCGCTATACAGAGGATGTTGTTATATCAAAGGTCATAATAGAGAGGCTGCATGCGCTATAAAACTCTTACTCAAGGGAAACAACCCTGCCCTTAACTCACCATCTTGTCCAGCCTCTGGCTTGACGCCAAAAGCGTAGCACTGCTTCTTGCAGCGGGAAATGTTGCCCATCATGTGACTGACTGAACTCTCCAGATCTTCTTCTCCCGCCCCCGGCAGTTTGGCAAACCTAGACATACACAAGTTAGTAATTGTGAGGCAGCGTGGTGGAATCAGGCTCTCGTCAATTTTTGGGCATGTAGAGTTATTGTCATCTTCTTAAAGCTTGTTCACTTGTCTTTATTTTGAATGAAAAAAATATCCATTTACCTTGAATATAGCTCGAGATATTTGCGAAAGAAGGAGGTGGGGGTCACTTGTTTTTAGGGGTAAAATTAGTTGGAAAACGACCGTCAACGATTAGTTATTTCCTTAGCTTAAGAGTCCGTGGTAACTGAAAATTTACATTTTTTGAGACTTTAATCATCGTTTTTCAGAAAAATCCCCACTCAAATGAGTTCTTTAATGGGCATGAAAGGTGTTTAGCCAAAACACAAAAATTTGATAAAAATTCACAAACCTGCGGAAAAATGCCAATTTCTTGACTTTGACTTTTTTGACGAGAGCCTGATTCCACCGCCCTGCCTCACAATTACGTACCATGAAGACACAACACCAAGTATGGTCAGTCTGTTTCAGTCACACACAAGAAGCAATCTCATTCCCCCAGGATAAATTATTCACCCCAAGTGGAAAAGTTACAGTTATCTCAAATACAAGTATGAACTGATTACAAACACCCCCCCCCCCCCATCTACATAATTTACACTACAGTCCAGTCCATTTATAACAGCCTCTGTTATTACAGGAACTTGGATATAACAGTGATAAATCTAATCCCTGATGTTTGTTTTTTCCTCTATAAGTGTAAGTAATAGGAACCTGGCTATAACAGGGTTCACTTTGCGCAGACTCAGATAAAACAGTGATCTTGCAGTGCATGAACTTGCTTTCGATCCGTCAAATTATTAAAATTTGTCTCAACCAAGACATTTCGCCGGTTCGTAAGATTGCTTGCCTAAACACAAAAACTTTCAAACATATACCCCCCCCCCCTCCACAACAGGAAGAGTTGAACAAAATGTTCCCAAAGTAATGAAAAAAAGTACATGAGTTTACATCTAATAAAGTGTACAAAAATTCCACAAGATAACTCCCGTACATCTTTTGGTGGACCACCAATCTGGCGTCGGCCCTTGTAGCAATGATTTCATTGGTCAGCACACTGCCCAGGATCTGGGACAGATCTGGTTCTCTGTCTGTCGATTTTAATATCTGCAAAATGTAAACAGAAAAAAAACACCTATACTTATATTATATATA